GTACTACGGAATCTAAGCTCAAAACAAAGTAAGAACATCTGATGACTAGTAGCATAATAATTTTTCATCCCTTTACAGGAAAGATTTGGGAAAGAAGAGAAAGACCTTTTTCTGAATTAAGTTGATTAGGAAATGAACTATTTGTATCATGCATGTCTGGTCCAGAATTTATCAAAACCGTTCCTAGGCTCTATTTTTTCCTCAAATACATGACATTTCTTTACTGTTCTAAGAGAAAAATGTTATAATAGCCTTCAGATGCAATATAAATTTCTTAACGCTTAAGTTATAGAGATTTTTCATAGCAGTACTATTTTGTTTAAGACAGGAATAAAATTTCAGTGATAAGAGTTTGAAATTCTGGTGTTTTTTTTCAGAACTTGCAAAAAAAAGAAAAAGCATTCATGGAATTAGAGCCCTACTACTTATATCCTGGACAATAGCGGAATGACAGTTCCTTCTGCAAAAAAAAAGAAAAAAGAAAAAAAAAAAGATGACCTAAAAATTTCACCTTCTCTGAAACACAAATACCTCTCAAATGTACCTGTAGATGTCTGGGCAAAGAACCCAGCTTTAATATACATCCATCTGATATTTAAACAACAGGAATGAATAAAGAGAACGTTAGAAAGCAAAGCAAAGTCCACAATATGGAATGGGCTCTGAGGCTAAGCCATTATTACACTATTGCGCCATAATCATCAAACTAATTTGTTTTCATGACAACCAAACAACAATCTTCATATTACCAACAAACAGTGCCCATGTCTGCTCCAAATTCCAAGTTCTTTTTAAAAGGTTATGTGCAACACTTACAATGCTTTCATTTTAAACAACTTTAATGCATTCCAACTTCAGATTCTCTCTATTAACATGTGAATTAGGAAACTGTAATTAAATTCTATGTAACTTAATGTGATGCACTGTCCAAGAGTTAATTTTGCCCTACTAATTATGGAATTGTCAAATAACTATAAATATCTCATTCATGTCAGAAAGCAAGTAAAGTAAGCAGTTGGGGTTATTATTTATTTCCATATTAACTTGAAGACAACTACTCTTGGCACATTTTAGTTTTGGGGTTTAAATTAAAATGTCAACAGAAGCCACATGGTGATGTGTATTCTTTTCCCTCATTACTAAATCCCACATGACATTTTTTAAAGCTTCACTGCATTCCATGCCAGATCTAGTGTCTACTGTCTAAGAGACTACACATATGAGTAAACCAAGGGGGAAGTTCCTTTCCCAAAAAAAATTCATCCAAGTCCTCAACTTATTTGCATAGCTGTGTGAGAGGAACAACATTCATCGTAAGCATGGGACAAAACAAATTCTTAACAGTAATTACAGGTTGTGCAAGAGATCAATCGGGGTAAGGACAACTATGCTCCTCCATTGAGAAATTATCTACAGGATCTGGTGTTCCTCGGGAAGAAAACAGGTTTCCGAGTTACACTCAGATATTGAAGGCGCAGGGAAGTGTACGGGGTGGTTATGTGCCACTTGTGTTTCTTTGCAGAATGATCCCAAGATCCTGGAGAAGTTACCAAGTTTACTCCAGTGAAGATGGAGAACCAACTTAAGCATTTCAAGGTCTTTGGGAAGGGACAGACATTAGGTCCAGAGAACTGTCCCAAATGGGAAACACTTCAAAGTTAGCCTCGGACTACAGCCAGTCACTCAGATTTTCAGTTTTTGGAAGATTGCTCTGCCTATCCCTTTTATAGTAGTTTTTCTTTTTTTAATGAATCACAGACACTAGAAATAAATAAATTCAAGAAGGCTCAAGGAAATTTATGAATGATAATTTCAGAATGGGTTTTGAAAGGAAAATCTAAGCTGCATCCCTCATCTACGAGGATGAAAGAATGGAAGTCACGCTCTTGCATAGAAATAGCTGTGGCATGGGTATAAGACAGAATCCAAGGCTGGGTTGACCACTATTCTCTCATAGAACTGTCAGACTCTCAACCTTCCAACACGAACTTTCCAAAGGAAAACCTTGCGTCCAGTACTGTACTGGGTAGGGTAGTAAACTATTATCTCTCAGCTCCGAACCCACCCTTCTATGTTCTGCTCTACAGTCTGGAACTCTGCAGACATTTCTCCTTTCGGCTTCACCAACACGGGCGTCTAGAAGGAGACAGGCTGGCAAAAGAGAGCTATGTTCTTTGCTTGTTGTCAAAGTCAAGACACTTCACCATGGCAGTTGGAATGGTTCTAGTTTCTAGCACTTATCCAACCCAGCTCCATCCTCCAAACAGTCTCATTACATTCTAGAGAGCAATAGGCAACTGGCCAGGGCCTTCCAAGACCATCCTTAGAGATCTGAACCCCAACTTGCAGGGCCCTTCCTGTAAGCTTCTAAATTCTGATAATCCCAACTGCTTTATTTTCCCACCCCCGCCACCCTAGGGGTGGTAGCTTTTCTTGCAATCACTATCTGTGTTTCCTCAGTATTCCCATTTTGTTTTTTCAATTCTCCAATAACTGTGCCCACTGTAAGACCTACCTCTTAATGCTGCTATGGGAATCCAAACTTTTGCTACCTCCTCCAATGACCCACAACCCTTTCCATGGTTTCTTGACTATCAGCAGTAAAGGGGCCTGAGAATGACTTGGTGATACCACATCTTCACCAACCCTGAGAAATCCATACCTCTTCTACTTCTGAGGGTGGATGAAGCATCTGATGCAGGAAGTAGGGACTGTTCAAGTTGGTAGAAAAAAAAGACAAGAAACCACTGATTCTATTCACACCAAATAAACAAAAGTGGAAGAATTTTAATAATCTGTCATAATTCCAAAGGATATAAATTTACTGAACACCAATATTAGAAAGCATTGCTGTTGATAATGGGTACATACGAGAAACTCAAATCCTGGTCCTGTTGATGTGAGCTTAGCAAACAAGTCTGAAACGAGTTTTGGAATCAACAGTTAATCAAGTAATAAAAAAATAAATTTTATGTTTGGGTGAGAAGACCAAACCTACACCAGATACCAAGAGCATGCTGACCTTTTTAGAGAAAAAAATGTTAGGTGGAACTAAAATTTGAGCTAATGTGACTTTTTAAAAAATATATATTTTATTGATTTTTTACAGAGAGGAAGGGAGAGGGATAGAGAGTTAGAAACATCGATGAGAGAGAAACATCGATGAGCTGCCTCCTGCACATCTCCCACTGGGGATGTGCCTGCAACCCAGGTACATGCCCTTGACCAGAATTGAACCTAGGACCCTTCAGTCCGCAGGCTGATGCTCTATCCACTGAGCCAAACCGGTTTCGGCTAATGTGACTTTTGACCTTTGCTTTTACTTTATCACTAAAAAACAATGCTATTTATTACCTTAGGGCAAAGACTACTATTCTTCCAAATATCCTTTCTCTCTTTCTTGCTCATTAATCACCTCTTAACCACCAATTTTCAGCTATGAAGATGGCCTCCCAGAATAAAGATTTCCAACTTCCCTTCGAGTGACTACTTTTTGGCCAATGGAATGCAACTGAAAGTGATATATGTACAGATGGAGGAAGCTAGCGCCCCTTTCTGTTTCCTTCTTTTCTACTGCTGGAGTGTGGACCAGGTGGGGAAATCTCAAACCACACACCTGAGAACCACGCTCTAGGAATGACTGAATGACTGGTCGCTATGACACACACTGACCACCAGGGGGCAGACGCTCAACACAGGAGCTGCCCCCAGCAGTCAGTGCACTCCCATGCCAACTTTCTGTGGCCAGCCAACCTCCCACGGTCCCTCCCTGGCCTGCCAACCTCCTGTGGTCCCACTCCCTCCCACCCCCCGGGGGCCAGCTGCCTTCACCTCCTACCCCCACCTCCCGATTGGCCTGGATCACCAGCCAGGCCAAGGGACCCCACCCGTGCATGAATTTGTGCACCAAGCCTCTAGTGACAGAGTAACAATGGAGAATGGGCATGGTCCCTGATGATGTCATACAGGGGACTATGAACAGTTGCTGGATCAGTTTGAGTGTTTATGTGAGGGGGGGGGACCCCTAACATTTTAGATGTCTGTCTGCTATAGTAGTCAAATCTATATTTTAATGATATAAATTCCAAATATTTAGTTACCAGGCCTTAACATTCACATTGAGCCCATGGAGCTAACTGATCATTGAACTTCTGGTCTGCTCTTCCTGTATTTCCCAGGGAAGGTTGGGATGGTGGTGGAAATTGTCTGTTTCCCAGCATGTACCATACAGACTTCTAGAGGCGTTATGCACCCTGACTACGAAGTGAAACTGGTCAAGACAGATGATGTTAATTTGGTACACAGAAGTTTCTTAGAGCAAAGACTATCCATGATTACTGCAGGGAGTTTCCAAAGGAAAAGGTGGCACTTTCAGTGCAAACTTTATTAGACTCATATTTTAAGAAGCTTCACTCAATCTTGCCTATGCAGAAAAATGCACCCACATAACATACAAGGTATGGCTTTGGCATTTTATGTGCCTGCGAAATGTTTGTAAAAGCACTTATTTGGAGACCTGCTTTGAAATGAGTTTCTAGCACCTGAAACATAATTTAAACACTGAGCATGGGTCTATTGCTATATGAACATAAATCTAATAACTATTAAAACCATTTGTCTCCCAACCAAAGTCAAGGAACCACTTTGCTGGGATTCCCTGTGACAAGAGAGAAATTCAGAGATGTCCTAAATTAAATTACAGCAGGCCAGAGCGTGAGAGAAAGAGGCAAGAGCTGCGGACCGATTAACAATAGACTGCTCACAGTCCTGCCTGTATGTTGCAGCTTTGAAACAAGTTCCAGGCAGCTGTCTAGAAAGAAGCAGAGACCACCAGCTGCCACCCTCCTGCATATGCATGAATATTCAGGATTGTTGCCCACGACCAATAAAAAGTAGTAACTATTACTTCCTTATGGACTGTGCATCTATCCCAGACTTGCCCCCACTTCACCTGCCCCCCTCCCATTATCTGTAGTCAATGTCAATTCTTTCAAAACCACTTATATTTGTCTTCCCCAGAACATGAGGCATGAAAGAGCCCAGCAGCTCCAGGAAGGCAGACACACTGCCTTCTCCATCCAGCTCTGCTGCCGGGGTTTTCAGCTGCATGTTCCAGGACCGGCTCCTTTTCTGACTAGCATTTGGCTCCATAAACCCTTTCTTTCAGAAAAGCTTTTGGCCTGTGTGGAAAGATTTTTGTTTAACACCCATATAAAAGAAATTCCTAAATACAAATACTTAGCAGATTCACTGGGCTGCCGAGACAATGGAGCAGGATGTAGGTTACTGCCTAGCAGGGACTGTTCTAAGAAACGTAGTTTAACCGATCAGTAGGATTTTTCTACAATTGTAAAATACTGTGCATGATAATTTACAACAGAACTGAAATCATTTCTGATAAACAATACAGCAAGATCAGAGAGCGGTGTCCCATTGGAAAGCAGTAAAGAGAGTATGACTGTTGATGTCAGTGTTTCGGAAAATGATTACACGAGTTCCTCAAGTCTGAGGATTAAGAATGAAGTGCAGGTCTCACTGGGGGTCATGACCAGGAAACAATGAGTATTTGTCAACTGAAAATAAGCCACTGGAACTTGAACCTCTCTTCTTTAGGAGAGTAAGACCAGAGGCTAATTAGCAGGGGCCCACGGGAGTAGTGTAATACAGGGCCTGCCCTCCAGGAGCTCGGGGACCAGCTGGGGAAGCAGCCATGTGCTAAAGAGTATTATGGCCATTTATAATCATGCACCATAATGAGGATCCTTTCCTGAGCCTGGAGATATCAGTGTGGTCTACAGTTATTAAAGAAAGCTTTGGAGGAGAGGTGGAACTCGGAAGGCTGTAAGAAGATTTAGATAGCTGGATGCTATGCCAGACAGGGACAGAGTGTCATGGCCTAAAGGCAGAATTCAGCAAGCCCAGGCAGCTAGGTTCCTGCCCTGGAGACAGGTGCACCTATCCATAAAGCACTGGCTAGTGACATCACCCAGGTAACGCCCTTACTGATTCAGCCTTTAGCAAACTCTAAGACTGAACCAGTGACCCTCCCTGCCTCAGAGGGTGGGCTCTGCAGTCAGCCTGGGTTTGAACCCTGGCTCCATTACCTCCAAGGCCAGTGACGCCAGGCAAGGCCTTTAACTTTTCTAAGCTGCAAATCTCCTCATCTGAAAAATGTCAGAAGATTAAATGGAGAAGATAAACATGTCTGACAGAGAGCACAGTAAGAATTCAATAAAAGTTCCTTATTAGTACTTGATGTTTACCCACCAATTTTCAGACACATTTTTGGCTCCCTTCATGGGTAGAAACAAACAGTGCTGACCTGTTACAAAAGCATAAATAAATATGCAAACAAAATCTGTGTGTGAACTTAAAATTTGACTCATGGTCATAGAAAAGAAGGCACATCACTGTGCAGTGAAATAGGTGTAGTGTAGCCAAGAGGTGACTAAACATAAGGGCATAATTTTCATTGTTATTTTTTAAAATGTTAATGTGGAGGAAAATGTTTGAGAAAATACAGAAATGGCTGAGTTATACAAGTAGAAAGAAAAATTCTTCACAACAATGGGAACAAGGTTAATAAATAAAATTAACAATGTATTTCCCACACAGCGTAATTAACCCCATGGCAGTGACTTAAATTTCTTAGTACTTAGTCTTTAAGCAGAAGCTTAAAAGCTTTAGAGCAGTGGTTCTCAACCTTCTGGCCCTTTAAATACAGTTCCTCATGTTGTGACCCAACCATAAAATTATTTTCATTGCTACTTCATAACTGTAATGTTGCTAATGCTATGAATCGTAATGTAAATATCTGATATGCAGGATGGTCTTAGGCGACCCCTGTGAAAGGGTCGTTCGACCACCAAAGGGGTTGCGACCCACAGGTTGAGAACCACTGCTTTAGAGTGTTCAGTAACTGTAACTCAAAATTAAGTTGTGGACTTTCCTAGGGTGAAGAATAAGAAAGAGTGAAATAAGTCACTGCCAAGAAAAACTGCTCTTTCAGTATTCTCCCTCAGATCACTTCTGCTTTTCTCCACTTAATTGTTGGTTTACAAGGAAGCACAAACTAGTTTCAACAGCAACTTTTATAACCTTCTTAGAAAAGTCAGAATCATACCTATACATTTTGAAAGGAGCAGATGAAAAACAATTTTCCAAATGTGTTGTACCCAACAATTTTGGAATTTCTTTTTTCCTGATCTTTAAACCACTCAATACTAAAATTACCAGATGTTAAAAGATTTGTTTACAAAACAGTATATATCCTAGAAACAATATAGAAATTAAAATATTTCTACAGTAAAATAAAAAGGCAATCTACAAATTAAGATATACATATATATATAAAAAATCTTGATAATTAGCTTTGAATAAGACGGGTTATAGGTGATTCTTAGTTTCTTATTTGCTTTCATTTTTTAAATATTTTCTACAATGAACATATGTTAAAGTACACAAATGATAGCATTTTCCTCTTTCAACATATTAGAACATTGGTACACTGAAGGACACGATTTGTAAGCCAAATGCCTAGAGGCCCAGGAGAAAAGACAATATTCCACCCCTTTTCACCTGTAATGCAAAATAATGAATGTATAACAAATTTGCATAACTTCATTATTTTCATTCTTTTAACTGCTCTCGAAACTATGTACAAATTATGATGCTCATACAAGAAGGGAAAACAACCTGTGTAAAACTGCCAGGTACACACTGCACTAGGAGCTCTGATAAACTTAACCTGGTGGAAGCACAAGAACATGGCTCTGAGGTAGATTTTATGAGGAAAAGGAGGCTTGGAGAGGTTAAGTCACTGGTCAGCCGTGGGCAAACTACGGCCCGCGGGCTGGATCCGGCCCGTTTGAAATGAATAAAACTATTGAAAAAAAAGACTGTACCCTTTTATGTAATGATGTTTACTTTGAATTTATATTAGTTCACACAAACACTCCATCCATGCTTTTGTTCCGGCCCTCCGGTCCAGTTTAAGAACCCACTGTGGCCCTTGAGTCAAAAAGTTTGCCCACCCCTGCACTAGGTGAGGCTCACTAAACTATTCACAGGGTTTCCACCAAGATTTTAACCCATGTCAGAGTCCATGTCTACTTTTACTATACAATGATGTCAGCTTCTATTTGTAATCCACCAGGTTGTCCTTAGGGAGCTGTACGTTATACAGTAAGTCAATTAAACATCAATATAACTCCCCCAGGATATTTAGTATTCATGGGAATTAATATTCAGAGTTTCCAACCCAATTATTTTTAGAAAGAAAAAAGATGTATATGGTTTAGATGCCCTCATCCTTCCTACCCTCTCCCCCAACACAAATGGTTGGCCTAAACTATCACCTTGTACTACAGCAAAGCTCCCTCTGCTTTTATTTATTTATTTTAAAATATATTTTAACTAGAGGACCAGTGTACGAACTGATGCCCCGGTGGGGTCCCTCAGCCTGGCCTGCGCCCTCTTGTAATCCGGGACCCCTTGGGGCGATGTCGGAGAGCCCGTTTTGGCCTGATCCCTGCAGGCCTGATCCAGACAGGAGGGAGCCTGATCCTGTGCATTGAGCGTCTGCCCCCTGGTGGTCAGTGAGCATCATGTCGACCGGTCATTTAGGTATATATCTATCTATCTAGGCAGGTGATTCTTAGTTTCTTATTTGCTTTCATTTTTTAATCTAACTATCTATCTATCTATCTATCTATCTATCTATATCTATATCTATTAATTTCAGAGAGGAAGAGAGAGGGAGAAATATCAATGATGAGAGAGAATCATGGATCGGCTGCCTCCTGCATGCCCCCTACAGGGGATCGAGCCCTCAACCGAGACAAGTGCCCTGACCAGAAATCGAACCGTGACCTCCTGGTTCATGGGTTGATGTTCAACCACTGAGCCATGCCAGCCGGGCACTCCTTTTAATAGCACTTCCTACTTTACTTCCTATACACAAACCCTAGTAAGGAATACTACAATCAATGTCAGTATACTTTCCCTAGGAATCTTTTTTATTAATTATGGACTTATTTGGGTTTTTCAAATTCTCCCCAAGACAGTGACAAAAAAAAAGAAAAAGAAAAAGAAAAACCACTAAAATATCAGATTATTCCAAAACCATGAGATTGCCAAATTTCTTGAACTTAGAGTTTAGGTCTCTTACTTGACTAGCATACAGTTTGGGTAACCACAGAAACTGTTACCATTGACACAGGACAAGCAGAAGCAGGAGATGGGAAGGCTAGGCTTACACAAGGAAATGAAAACCTCCCCAGCAGCCCTGATTTGACCTCCACTGCTTCCTGGTAACCGGCCTGCAGTACGAAATTCTGAGTTCAGTGTTCCTGAGCTGCAGCTTGGGCTCAATATCCAAAATATTTTAACTCATTAGGCTGACTGGGACAGGAAACATTTAATCAGTGTTACAAAATCATATAATGTAGTGCCTGTATTCGTAGAGAATCATGGAATTCACTCAGTGAAGTAATTACGGTAATCCAAGTCCTAACATCCCCAAAATGAATTTTTCCACGTTTCCTTTTGCAAGCTACTGATCTTTACTCCTAGCAGTAAGTTAGGCATCTAAATGGCATTGTCCTTTCAGGATTCCAGGAGCCACTCCGTAAACATTTAATGAGGTCATGCCCACAACTACGTTTCCACAGAGCAATGCAGAGAATTCAGTCAGCCTCAGGCTTCTCTGGGCAAGAAGTTGATTTGTAAATGATAATAAGCAGGTTGAAATGCAGCAAATGTCTCATGCTTTACCATAAGCCAGTTAAAGCATGGTGGGTTTTGTTTGTTGTTTTACTTTTATGGGTGTCAGTCATCAATTACAAAAAATATGGTTTTGAAAAAAATTGTTATTGAATTGGAGTGACATTGATTAACAGAATAATATAGGTTACAAGTATACAGTTCTATAATACATCAGCTGTACCTTGTATTGCGTTTTCAGCACCCCAAGTCAAGTCTCTTTCCATCACCATTTATGTTTTTAGATACAGTGGGGCCTTGACTTACGAGTTTAGCTCGTTCCAAGACCGAGCTCGTTAAGGAGTTCATTAACTCAAATTATTCTATCAACTCAATGCAAAAAATCGGCCGAGAGACAGCTGGTATCTCAAAAAACTTCTTACATGGGACACTCGTAAGTCAAGGCCCCACTGTATGTATTTGCATATCCGAAATAAAAACAGCTAGGACTATTAATACTGGCCCAGGGATACAGAACACAAAATAAGCAAATCGAATATATATCTAGATGGAAGGC